CGTAACTCCTGAAATGTAGTTCACTCCAGAACCGCGGCATCTCCAAAGAGCAGCGAATTGCACAATGGCTGAAAGCATCACCTGGAATAGTCGTTATGCGTCGCCCTAAACGCACTAGCTGGTCCGTCGGAAAAAGCAGCGCCTACGAAGCACAATGCACTTCGAACTACTTCCTGGACATCTGATTCATTTCCCACTTTCTTGTTGCTTGCAGTACTACGCGAATTTGTCAGGGATTGACACTAAATCTCACCGCCTGTGGTATAGAATCCGCCCTCGGTGACCCGCAAAGGGAGATACAAACATCGTGAATGCGTATTCCACAAATTTTCTCATATCAAATGGCTTGAGAGCTGGACCCCAGGTGTTGCGCTGTTCCTCAAATGAAGCAGGTATCACTTTCCATAGACTGTCACGGCGCACACTGCTAAAGCCTTATGGGCACAATCCAATTCCTCAAAAAGATTTCGATGCCTGAAGCATGTGGCAGGTAATTATGCTGTCAATCAACGCACTTTCTTATTGCATCACTAACTATGCGGCAATGCCACCCGGAGTCATCCTCTTCTTAGAAGATAATTTTAAACTTGTGTGCTCGGGTTGGAAGAGCTGGCCCGCAACTTCCAGAAATATGCGATGGACTTCGCAGGATATCCCTAATAGCTGCGCCAAACTCGCCGTGAAGAACGTTCTTTTCAGCTCACAAGCTACACATGCAGGTAGTTGAAAATGGCAGACCCAGGTGATGCGGTAGTCTTTGCAATTATTACAACGAGCGAGGATCCAGCGGCCTTCAGCGCGTCACCCGCATATCCAAGCTGCATGAAAAGATGAATGATCCTGCTGTTTCGCAGCGATATAGCATTTTCTTCTTGTGAGAAAACGCGCGGCATGCCGGGACGTACGTCCTTAGAAATCACCAAATATTGCAGCCTGACATAAACCTTGCTTCGAACACATCTCAATTTCATCTTTAGTAGACGCACGTTCGTTGCTTCAGTGAGCCTAAGCATTTCAGTAGCAACTCAAGAACGCCGGAGTCGTATACAGGTGCCCTCAAGTGTTGATGTTTAGAAATTCTGCTCCCAAACTCACTGCCTGTGCACGGCAGCAGCGCCCGTCATTATGTTTCAAGTTTCACTGTTTTGATAGATATCCCACCAACACCGCCGTTTACATGGCTCATGACACCAGCGGCCCACAAGTTATTACGCCTCCCAAGCTGCCATGAATACCTAAAGGCACACACTTCCACAGCATTGCACGCTATATACAAACGCACGTTCTATGCCAACGACGCCTCAAAGAAACGGAAAACGAAAAACATCGACCTATTTTTGATATGAACATCAGCTCCACGAAATTTGTAATTCCCCAACTCAACTGACAAGGCACGCACTCGCTGAGCTCCATCCAAGCATAACGCCTAGATCCTCACGCCCAACCTCTGAAGGCGACTACATAAACCATAAGACGAGACCAGCCAGCTTCCAACATCGTCGTCTTTCCGATGTTGTCCCACAGCCGCGATGCACACAAAGCAGGGGTATATAACGATTGCATCGATATATTCTCAGAGGTGCAAAGTCTTCTTTCGCTTCAATCCAGCACGTCGGAATTACTTTCTGTAAGTAGCAATCAAGCTCCGGCGCATTAAGACCGAGCTGTCAGTCTCGCGAAAAGCAGATCACGAAAAGCAAGCACAATTCCCCATTGGAGTGCGCGTTTTGCGGAGCTAGAGGCCCGAAGCACGTGCAGCACTAGCAATGCACATGCTGGCGAAAAGTCTAGGCTGAGGCTTTCAAAGTGTCATACAGCTATATCGAGTGTACACTGCTGCCCAGGAGTACTGCACCATGGGCTGTTCTAACGGACGGACTTCCTGCGTGCAACAGACAATGAAAATAGCATCATTCGTAGGACACACTGATAAGCAATTGCAGCTGAGGCTTTAAAAAGCCCAACAAAGTAGCACGTACTAAACGTCCGAAGAAAAATCCGCCATTCACACATATTTTCATCAGCTAGCAGATGCACTCAATCTGGGACTTTTCGCCACAAATGGAAGATTCTATCCCGCCAATAGATCTCATGCGTTAGGGGTACTCAGACTAACCAGCTAAGTCGCAACAGGAGAATTCAAAGCACTTCTGGACACTCCTCAGCACGTCAGGACAAAGAAAAGTGCTTAATGGCTGCCACAGGCAACGTCATCCGTAGCAACTGAGTGCATGCTTTGCACACAACTTTGAGTCGATATGCTGTGCTGCAGTCCTGCCTGTGATCCAGCTAGCGAATTGGCGGCTTGACAAGGCTCAATTGCTATAAAGTGCGCAAAAATATTGCAGGACAGTGGCAAATATCAAGACAACCCAGTTTTACACACGGCAGACGCTTTGCACGAGACATACTTCCTATGCAAGCGACACGTTGAGTATAAGGGAAGAACTAAAACATCTGCCACATAACACCTGTCCATCTTTACCACGGCCAACAGCACTGATATACTGAGTGCTTTCATCCCTGATATGCACGAAACTGCGGTGCAGCCTTTGGCATCTAGAAAATTTCAACACGGAAAGGAGGCAAGCAAGAATAGTCTACAGCAAAACGCTGACTACTAAGATATAGGTCTGAACTGGAAACCTACTGACTGCATTGCACGAGATCGAAACACGAAGAGCAGCGAACACTTTCCCATGCAGCCTCAAACTTCATGCTGGTCGAAGCAACGGCTGCTACTCTGTCAGAAGGACAGAATAGGAACACGAAATGTGGTGGCCACACGAACTGCAGCACTTTTCTGAAAGCAAGTCTGCCGTTTGAATGGACTATACCGGGCCCAAGCAATCTATCACTAAACTGACAATCTGCATTGTAGCAAACTCTTGCCTTTTCACCTTTGTCAGACCGATAGAGTCAACCGCATGCTGATAGATGAACAAGGCTACGCAACAGTTACACTGACAGGGCAAAAACGCAGTAGAGTGCAGTAGGACCATATTATTGCCCCAAAGCATGTGACCTGTAACCACCACTGCTACGAACACTTTCCCAAAGGCATTCCTAAACTAGCATTCAACAACGACGGCAGAAGCCTGAAGCCACATTTAAGGCGCGAAAACGTTTATTACAACGCACATAATTGCGACATACTGAAATGTGAAGGGTTAAATGGCACTGGAACGCTGTAAAAAGGATTCGCGCTAGATAATGATGCAGGAAAAAGTTCAGGGCAGCATACTGTCTACACACGGACGAAATAATACAGCATTAGGCGGCAAATTGCCATACCCAAAATGCATTTGCAAACTGCAGTACCTGGACATGAATCGAATCCAGACAAGCACTACTACTGCTTGCCAGACATCTGCAGTCTAAGGTTTTAACTCCTGGGAACACCTCCAAGAGCTGGAAACATACAGACACGTATGTGCATGGCTTGAAAGCCGTTCTGATCCGCTCTTCAGCTTTTTAAATATGGCTATGCAATATGCTGAATTTTAAGTTGTCACGTAGACAACAGCGCAGTTTCGACGTTGAGGCAAAAACTATCCAAAAATGGCGCGTCCAACTAAACAGCGCATCCAGTGTGACCCATCAGAATTGCACGTACCGGATACAGCTGCGATTTGAAAGCAGGTTGAGATCACCCCTGACCGAATTTGCCCTCACAGGCTTACCATCTGCACCTGGAATGCGTTGGTGCATCGCGAATCGCCAAAATTTACTTGAGCCATCAGTTTTCTAAGCACACCCAAGTTACGCCATTTCAAGGCACAAGGATAACAACTCAAAAGCAAACGCACGCTCTTTGGGACAAAAAAATGCACGATCGCGTCCATTAATTGAGTAGCAATGGAACCAAGCCCAACGCTAGTATCTATGAAAGCAAGCCTAGGTCTTGAATATTCCAGACACTCTCAGTGCACGTTCTTCACACTCACCCACACTCAAACATTCACCTGGTAGTGCCATAGGACACTAAGACCAATATTACGGCTGACGCAATGCAAAAGGTACGAATTCCTGTGTGCACATTTAGGCCTTCGCATACAGCAACTAAGAAAGTCCGCAATGCATTTCTACAATTTGTGAAGAGTTGCGCACCATTTTTTCCAGATTAAGATATGCTGATCGTAATCGCGCGAGTGTTCGAAACGCCGCCCGCATTCAGGTCGTTGTGCACAAAACCAGCCACGCTATCACTCCATGCTTTTGACGCAGGCAACCTCACCAGTTGGCTCAAAGAACTTGCGTCCTTCGTCCGAAGCACTTGTTTGCAGTAATCGATTATAAAGAAGGCGGCTAGTCTTATTCCTACTGAGGTCATATGCATGCTTGCCCAGCAGTCCTCCAAACGCACCTGCTGTGTTTTGCAAGGAAATACTACTGGAGCCTGCCTCAGGATGGCGGAACACCGTCAGATGAGTGCTAGCATGTAGTCCCCTTCTCCAATGCAATTCTCAGGTCCCAGCGTCCATGAAATAACACCAATGGCAACTCAGATTGTCCGTCTGGCAAGCTCACCCTCTTTGGCGGCATGAATCGCTTCGCAGTACCCTGTTAGGTATGCAATAAACGTGTGACCCAGCGTCTTTGCCTGCCAAAGACCAGAATCACTCATGCCGGTCTCGTTCTAACAGTACCCGTTATCTTCTCAGGGGTAACTGGCAGAAGACACTACGGCTGGGAGTGGCAAAGTCCATGAAACATGGGATTCATAAGGCATACGCCTAGGATTATCGCGCACATTGTCCTCTACCTCGAGAGTGATGTTCGCGTCAGGCAATCACCACAGTGAGCACATAAATTCGCGAGCTGCCCAGTCTTTGGAGTAAGCATTGGTTCCCCCGCTTCAACGTCGGCGTCACATATTAGTGAGACGGATGCGATACGCTTCCTTCATAATGACTCAACACTGGACGTGTCATCCATACTGCATTTAGGTAAAACTTCTCCATATACACACACTGATCATATTCATGATCAAACCCAGTTCAGTAAATTCCACGTACTTTCCTCATTAGGACGAACAGGCCGATAGACAGGAGAATTGCCAGCGCGATCAATCTACGATGGCTCTTCCTCCTGGTCAATCCCTCGTCAGCATTGCGCTTGAACGAGACATGCCTTTTCGATCCAGTGAAGCCTGCGGAGACTCGCACTGTTGTCGACGCCTCGTGGGAATGGTCGTAAAGCCGGGCCGTCGATTGCCGCTGTAGTGGCTCTTGCTCCGCTGGAGACTCCAAAGACTGCAAGGGGTCAGCCTCTGGTGAGTCTGGAGCTTCGGGTTCTGCATCTTCTACATCAGGGCTAGGCACTGCAGCATCCTGCTGAACTGCCGGGGTAGTTACTAAGACCTCCGCCTGGAGCTCGAGCGGAGCTACTGCATGCGCATCCTCTGAGCCAGAGACAGTTACTGAGACAAACGCCAACGCAGCTAGGAGCAGGAGCTGCCCTAGCCAAGCGAGGCCTCCTGCGCGTTGACCGGCCCGAAAGCCCTGCTGCAAAGTTGAGGCCATTGTGTTTTGGAGGATAAGGGAGGCCTTGTACAAGAACTTGAATGTCAAAACTTCTAGTTTGCAGTAACTGTTTGCGGACAAACGTTTATGCAGAATCATCCCTGTGCGTTGCACCTTGGCATCGTGTGCGCCCCAGACTGTAGGTCTGCCCCACCAACCGCACATCACGCAAAGGTAGCGGGTTGCAGCCTATGCGTAAATCTGCCATCTTAATAAAGAAGGAGTTCTGTTCATTTATAATATATGGTTCATAGGTGCCTAAATGCGCTATTTTGTCTTGTGAGCCTTCCGCAAGCCAGTGTGCTCGATATCTTCGCAGAGCAGAAATACTGTGGCGTTTCTGCGAGTTGATGTTGACGCGTCTGCTTGACCTAGTTTCTGAAGCTATAGCATTCAAATAGAGTTTTGGGTGTACTGGCATAAGTTACTCACCAAATAATTAATGTCTTTTTAGTCCATGCGCGGACTAACTCGCCCGAGCTGCAAGTAGCACGGCCCACAAGCTAGGCAGGGCCTGTGGGCCCGTTCTGGGTGCGGGCCCGTGCGACCTTTTTATTTCCTGCGTAAAGCTATAGCCAACACTGAACAAAATTCCCCGAGTGACTCCATATAATAAAAAATGCATTTCGAAGGTACATTTCCACTGCCTGCCGCGTATCCTGCTCCTGTGGCAGCGACATTTGTTCCCGGTTTGCTCTAGCTGTTACTGCTGCTTCGGCAGTAGCTGTTGTTGCTGTCTCTGTTGCTGATGTTGCAATTTTTGTTTTGTGAACGGCTGATTTCGTGTGCTGCTGTAGTTGTTGTGATGTTATTAGTCTAGTTAAGGTCTCTGTGCAGTTAGACATCAGTAGCAGCAGCACGGGTCTGTGGGACATAGGTGTTTTGCTGACGCTACGATATTAGGACACACTTAACGTTCCCATGACGTCCTGGGCACTGGTAGACTCAGCGCAGACAAAGACATACGAGGAATGAGTGGAAGTATTTTCCCCGAGAAGCAGAAACAGTTGAAGTTGAGCGCAGACACTCAGAATCTATGAGAATGACACTGGAAGAGTTCACAGCATCAGCGACGCTCTGCCTTGGACGGCGGGACTACGAGGGCTTAGGCGTTACAAAATTCCGAGGGATTTCGGAATGTCTTGGCCCTGCCAAGCTTCTGAGTCACTGTTCGCACTTCTATGTTGACGTTGATTGCACTGTAATATCTCTAGATCGACATACAGAACTGCGGTCGCCAGGCGTGCATATAAAGGACGCCTCCAGTATTCTGGAACTGGCGCTTTCTAGACATTGCCTGCCTACGGCTACTCAATCAAACAGACCTTCCTGAAGCCTTCCCAAAGGCCTGTATTCCTGCATTATTGGCCTTTCCTTTTCCTGGCTTTCCAGCCCTGAACGCAACCTCAGTCTCTTGCGGGGCTACTGAGCTTACAAGAGCGTCGTCAAGCACAATAGTGTCTTCTGCATCCACTCATGAAACATCATATTGGTTTTTTAACTATTTTTTTTCAGCGAGCCCACTTGGAGTGCGTCGCAGCACAACAAAACACTGTCGTGGTGCTGGGAAGTGAGAAGAAATCAATAAAACATGCTCAGGACTTATAGTGCAAATTAACCACAGTGTACAGGCTAGCCGCAGTGTGTGTAAGGAGAACGCAGTTCTCAGGCTAGCTAACTCCTGCGACCTCTCAAGAGAGGCCCAGGCGTTAGAAATGGCACCGGCCTTACACTTGGAGAAGAATCTTTGCTGTATATTGCGCATGCATGTGAAGTGTTTTAAAACTTTTTCTGTCTTTTCTGGCTTCATTCGGTATTTTCGTAGAAGCATAGCTGATTCTGGCAGCACCGCCCAATCGATACCCATAGATAAAGAATTATATAAGTTATTCTGAGCAAGCATCCTTTTGGACTCTATCAACCTGCATTTGTGGATAGGCAGCGAGCCAGAAAGTCTTCAAGACAGTGCCTAACCAACGTAAGCGGCGAGACCGTGGCACAGTACTCTGCATACGACTCCGTCAATATTGAGCAAAACTGGCAAGAAACAGCCTTACCGCTTTTTTATCCACCTGGGCTCTGCGTAAGCAGGAAATTCAGGCACGTGCTCTTTGCTGCAATACAGCAACGACAAAATGCTGGCCGAATGCATTAAGCGTGGAATTCGAGCTAACTGGAGACGGAGAAATCGCGCACGGACAAATTTTCTTCATACTGAAAGGAATACAACAATGGAATGGCAGCATCTCATCATAAGTTCTCGATGAAATAACATTTCCTCCAGTGTCTCGTAGAATCGTGAGCACAAAAAGCTTCATTTTCCCAGAAAAATGTAGACTTTGGACCATTTGTACTATCTTCTAGGAGTTGACAGAAAAATGTAAACTTTGGAAACTTTGTACTATTTTCTAGGAGTCGATATACAGCAAGCGTGATGGAGTGGAAATGGCACTTTATCTCTACGCCAATATTACACAGCTTGAACAGGACTACAAAATACTTTTTACGACGCCTTTTTACCTGTATGTTCCCTCCACGAGCACCCCCTACAAATGGCCGTGCATCTCGGAGACGCATTTAAAATCTGAAGTAGGCAGGTCACCTTTTGTCATGTTAGTGTTATATAGTCTCTTGTTGTATATCGACTCCTAGAAAGCAGCATAAAGCTTCCAAAGTCTACGTTTTTCTGGGAAAATGACGCCTTCTGTGTTCAGGCCTCTACGAAACACTGTGCGAAGTGTTATTTCATCGAGCATGACTAAATTGACTCATGGTGCGATGCTGCCATTCCATTGTTTTAATCCCTTCAGAATGAAGAAAAGTTGTCTATGCGTGATTTCTCTGTTTATAGTTTGCTCGAATTCTGTATTACTGCCGAAAGATAAGCAGATTTGCAAGCTTCATGACGTCCTACAAACAGCACCGCAAAGATTACAACAAATTAGAGCAAATGCCTGGCTCGACTCTTTTTAACTAAATCCACACACTGCCCAAAAGTACACAAGAAAGAAAGCAGGAAAAACCGAGCGAAAATAAATTTCTCCTGAGGAGGAATGCACCGACGCGGAGAAATCGAAAACAAAGGAAGGTTTAATGTCGCAGCTTTTTGAGAGTGTTGCAGCGTAGAACATGGCAATTCTGTGGATACTGGATAAACTAGGACCGCCATGGCTATAAAACTGCATGAAAGAGGTGAAAACAGTGGCTCAAATGAACCGCTAACTCCTGTAAGAAAGCAGATTCGGCGCATGGATAGGTGCCCTGGAGTAGCATTAGAGCAATCAGGGTAGAGCTTGGTAGCGATCAGGGTTGACATAAGTGCTTTCAGCTTGCAAAAGACAGCTGCAGCTGCATTGTGGATCTCTGCGCTTCGTGCTCACTTCGGATTCTTCCATCCTTTATGGCTCCAAATGAACAGTTCGGGCACTAGTGAATCTAGACACACTACTTCCAATAGTCAGTTTGCTCCACTGTTAACCTACAAGTGCCAGCATTAACTTACATCTGGCATAGACCGCCAGCGCCTACACCCCTGCAGGCCATGCCTCATTGCGCTAAGACGACGAATATGCCCTGACATGGGCGCCCTAAGTGCATGTTTCGTTGTGTAAGGCAACGCACTGTAGCTGCTGTGTAATTTAGATGTTCTTCTGTTCATCTCCAGGGCGTCACTGAGCAAGTGCCACCTTCGGCGAGCCGCGTAGAGGTTGAGGACAAACTTGTCCATATGCATCCATGGAAACACACATCGACATACGACTAGACACAAACAATGCAGTGTGAATATAGTAACGTCACTCTCCTGTAGCAATTGTCTGCAAGTGTATAGAAAGCACGAAGTTACGCGCACACTCTGCCCTGCCACCCAGAGCTAAGGGAAACAGGACACCACGCGTATCGCCTTGGTGATGCGTTTGTTCCAAATACACACTGTACTAATGATAAGCAACAGGAAGACACTGCGTGAACTGCATGCAGTACTGCTGCAGCTTCCTGCTGCTGGTCAGTACTCCAGACCAGCATCCTCTAGATTTGCATTTCATGGGACAAGGCGGCTCCCATATCATCTATGCATCGATACATGATGTTATAATGCACTCAAAAATTCCACAAATACTTGCTCGGTGAGTATATTGCTACTATGACACGGCATTTCCTGAAGGGGCCCCCCCAGTAGCAGCCACCCGCCGCTTCTAGGCAGTACCTGCTGCGTACCCTTTGTTGTTGGTTCCTAAGTACCATTCACACGTCGTTTATTGACGAGGTCGATAGGAAACAAACCATTGGATATGTCTTTATATTCTGGAGGCAGTGTGTTAGAATTGTTACCGGCTTTCCCCTGTAGCAAGTGCCCCGCTTGAACAGTACAACTCAAACTTCGGGGGTATCTCAAAGTCCCAGCAAGGCAAAGAGATCCCTCTTTTGGGTTTGTTCGCTGATACACGCTTGCGCGCAACGTATGTAGCGGGATACAGCAGTTCGGCGCCTCCTGCCGATGCTGCTTCCAAGGAGTGCTGCAGCTGTTTAAAGTGTGCCGCCTCATCTTTGAGATGTCAGCCCATAAAGCTGGTGCAAGGGCAGCAGCAAAGAAAATACCGTGTATGTGGCACAGCAAAAATACCAGCAGCGTGGCCAGCACCAATAATAGCTACGCGAACAACGGCAGCGACAACTGCAACAATATCGGAGGCTCAGCAACAGCAGCAGCAACCCCAGGCACTGCCTATCTCAGGAGGCACAACAAGTCGTTGCCGTTGCAGAGAAAGCAAAAGTACTGTCCACTTCTTCCCCCGTAGCAGCCTGGGCACGACCACGATGGACCGCGCAGTGGATGAGGAACAACAAATGCATAGGTCTTATGCAGCAAACCAGCCCGCAGCGGGCCTTCGTGCTGATTTTCCTGGCCGGAAGGTGGTTGCATCGGAAGGTGCCGAAGCAACACCAGCAACTGCAATAGCAACAGATCAGCAATGCAATAAGGAGGCCTTGCTGCGCGACCGGCGTCAGCAGCAGGCATTGTTGACGCCGTTTTCAGGAGACCCCAAATGTCCTCTGCTGCGAGACGTGCAGCAGCAGGAGCTAGTTCGCCAGCATACCTTCGATGATACAATTAGGCTAAAACAGCCCTCAGCGGGTGCTCTGTCGCTCTTTACGCGCTCCTCGTCTGACAGCCAACACCCAGTCACAAACTCAGAAGACCGGTGGAGACAGGTGAGCTCCTTTTGACTATGTTGCACCCTTTGAGACAGTTTGAAAGACTGTGGCTTCTGTTTGCTGGGTTGGCCATGTTCCTGCTGCTACTGGCCCGGGTGTCGATGTTGCCGACAGTGCAGGTGACTCGTTTGTTCAATGTAGTGACTTAGAAATCGATCCTGGTGGCGCTAGTGCTGAGCCTGTCGGTTGCATGACGGACGATGTATTCTGTTTGCTAACGTATGTCGCCGCAGTGGTTTTACATCATCAACAAATACAGAAGCGCTGCGTGGTTACTTTGCTTCGGTGACTGACCTTTTCAGTTATCTCTCTCACGGACAGAAGAGGAGCTCTTTGCCGCTGGCTTGAACACAATGGAGGACCTCAGCCCTGAGCAGGCGGCGAGAATTTCGGCAGAGTTGCGCGCGCATGCTAGGAAACAGCAGCAGCAGCAGGTGCATATTAGCGGAGCTATAAAATCTGCTGCACCTGCGGAGCTCCATCCTCTGCAAGCAGATGCCCAAGTTGCTGCTGCTATCGCTCCTGGGAAGGTGCCTACTGACGACCACTCTGCCCTCAGGGAGCTGCGTTCGGGCCATCTGCATGGGGAAACATCAGATGAAGAGATTGTTTCCGCGGCACCTGCAGCAAATCTACAGTGTAGGACTACCCGACAGCAAAAGCTTGCGGAACCCCATCAGCACCGTCAACAGGAGCAGCAGCAGCAGCATGAGCATCGAACACAGCAGCGCGAGCAGCCGGATGAACCGCATCATGAAATTGAGTCTGAGGAGCAGAAGTGCGAACGTATTGCGGCTTCGATTCGTTTCCAGGCAGAAGCAGACCTCAGCAAACGTCGGGAGGAGTGAGCACTTCTGCAATTTCGTCTTGCGTTTTTGTTTTCACGCCCACCTAAACTGGATCCTCTAAAAACGTTCACTTCCATTAGTTGATATTTATTCTTCAGCATCCGCACTTGTCTTGGCTGTCTGAACGTGCTTTACTCTTTGCTGCGGCCACCATGCTTTCATATCCGCCGCCAACACCAGCAGCAGAAGTGCTGGCATCACTCGCTGTGTCAGTAATGCAGCGAGCTTTTGCGTTCACGTGTCTCAGGATGGCTGCTTTGCGGGAAGATGCCGAGCGTCAGCTATTGTCTCTACAGTTGCTGCCACCACCACAGGAGCGTTTGTCCTCGCTTCCTGCCTCGCTGAGAGAGTCTCTCTTCGGGGTATTTGTTTGTCTCTGCCTGCGCCATATTGAGGAGTACGATACATCCTGTTCTCTTTGGGCAGCCGCAGCTTACAAAGCTGTGCCAGGCCGCGTAGGAGCGCGAACTAACGGTCGTTTGTCTCTGTCGTGCTCCTCTTTTCCTCGTTTTTCTGCTCACTTTTTGCTTCTTTGTCCTGGATTGTTCTTCTTCTCCAGCGTGTCTGCAACTAGTTGTTGAGTTTTGCTGCTGTTCACCTTTGTGGGAGCGTTGCGCCTCTTTCAATTTCTACTGACCAGTGCCGATGCTGCGGGAAACGCTGTTGCTGTTGCTTGTGTAGGTGCGATGAGGATTTTCGGGGCGAGATAACGGAGTGGGCTCTGGGTTTGCTTAATGCACTGGCTTCACCAAACTTGCTGCACTTAGGGGCGCACATCGCGAACTGCCTTAGCAAACCGATTGCTTGGAGGGAACAACTGCAAAAGGATGGGGTTCGGGTGAGCTGCTGCAGCCTCTACTCTGTCCCTTGCAGTAGCAGTAGCGGCAGCTGGGGATTGCTTGCTGCCTTGTGTATTGTTCCGTCTGCTTTCCGTGAGTGTCAACCTCTTATGCTCTAGCAGCAGAGGGCCAGTTGAGGATGAATGAGCAGCGCTTGTACCTCTGCTTGCCACCAATATCAGCAGAAGCAGTAGAGGCGACTGCGTCGAAGATGACAGTAATGGTACACCGTGTCTTTCTGTGTGCGTTTTTTTCTTTGCTGCCGACGTCGGGGCTCTTCACAGGCGAGCGATATTGTCACAATGGACCCTCTAATACACAAATTGGAGGCCTTCTTTGTTGAGAAACAAGCAGAGACGGACGAGCTTTTCCGCAGCGTACAGAGGCGCCTGAAGGCCAACCGGTCCGACTCGCCGGTCGAAGAGGCACTCACGGACATACCACAATCATCCAGCAGCAGCAGCAGCAGCAGCAGTTATAGGGATGGAAAAAGCAGCAGCAGCAGCGTCCGCGCCACCACGCATGGTGAGGCTACTTCGGAAGCCATGCACAGACCGTCGGCATTTGGTGAGAGCACTGCTCCTGCTAAGTTGGAGGAGCTGCAGAAGCAAGAGCAGAAGCTGCGCGAGCCGCGGGATGTTCCTGTAGATGCTAGAGACAGCAGATTGCGCGCACTTTTGAAGCCACCCTGTAAGCTTCCTGTTGGGGTGGATGAAGAGCACCAGCAGCGGAAGCATGAACACGGGAATGATCATGCACAGCAAGAGCTTGACCTGCCAATTAGGGCGTTTGTTGCAGGTGACCACACGGACTTGCCCCTGGAGAGCCGCTGTTGTGGGAGCAGACATCCAGCCGTTGAAAGTGAGGCAGTTCCTCAGGGAGAGAGTGACGACAGAAAACAGCCGGAGGTGAGAGCTGGGCGTGCAGAGCGGGTGCCTGATGAAGCAAAGAACGAAGGCTTGCACGCTGCGGAAGTTCCATTGCAAGGTACTGCCGTCGCAGCAACACAGCAGCGGCAAGGGCATTGGGAGGCCCTGAACTGCACGGGGAAGCAGAGCGCTGACTCTCCGCAGGAGTGCCTGCAGCATGAGCCCCTTCCACATAAAGAAGAAGAGGAGGAACAGCATCATTACGAGGCCGTACGACCGGGACAGCAGCAGCAGCAGGACACACTACCACATGAAGAGCAGGAACACCGCTTTCAGGAGGAGCAATTGCAGCAAGGCAGGCAGCGGCAGAAGGCTCTTTCAGGCAGGGTTTCGGACAGCGATAGCTGTACGCGAGAGGAAGACAGAAAGATTAAGCCGTCGGAACTGCAACTTTCTCAGGGTGACCGCAAAGCTGATGCCGCTTACGTGGGGCCACAATTCAAAGGGAGACAGGAAGAGCAGCAGCAGAGGCACGAACACAGTCACCAGCTAGAGACCTCTTCGTCAGAGGATGAAAGGGACGCTTTTGAAGGAGGAACAGGGCCCGCGCTCTCCATGTGGGTCTCGGAGCCCCCTGACTACCGCGTCGTCTTTCTAAGGGATTTAACAACAGCCCTCGTCACCAATGGCACATTTGATGCCAGAATTCAAATGCTTCTGGACAGGTTAGGGTAGATGCATTTTGTCCTACTCTGCCGTGGCAGGGGAAGTCGTTGGCACTAATTGTCTGCGTATCCATCTCTTATTTTTTTTTGCTGTTGGGTGTGTTGCATTTATGTTCTTCTACTACTGCTGCTTCTGCTGCCTTTGGTCCACTGGTGCGTAAGCTTATATGTTCCTTGGAGCATTCCGAAGGCGCATGTATCGTGGATGCCCTCTTTTCGCTTGCAGATTGGCGGCTGAACTTCGCATCAATCCTCTGTTGCTTATTCGCATTCAAGAGAACCTCGCGGCTGACCTCTTGTCTATCCTCCAGGTGCGGAGCTATTGCTACGGCAGCGCAGACTGCACTACCAGTTTCACGAACAACAATACCACGACAAAAGAAACACGAGGAAAAGCGATAGGAAGCTGTAGTAATCACCTCTCGTTGCTTTCGCATGCTCCAGGCAAACACGAAGGAAGGTTCAAAGCAGAAGACGTGGAGGCGCCTCAAGATAGCTGGTGGGCCCAGCCTGCGTTAGTTATGCATCCATTCTTGCCAGAGTCTGTACCACCGTCCTGGCCTCTCTAAGTGCCTTTGGAGCTTTTTGGCTAGCTAGCAATGCACAAAAGCTACATTCTTATTCTGCCAAGGCTTGCTTCTTGTACCCGCCTTTCTTTAGTTCCTAAGCCACGAGCCGTGCGTGTGTCACTTCCGGCGTGCATGCTCTACTTTTATGTATTTCAACACTTCACGCCTGCAGGATCTGCGCTTTTTGCCGTTTGATGCGTTGCTGGTTGTGCTGTCACTTATATTGTTACTGCCGTTGCTCCCTGTCAGGCGCTGCGGTTGGCGGCGGAGTGTTACTTGCTCTCACTGCGGGGCTGGCGGCCCCCGGAATTGCTGCTGCGGTTGCTTCTTTGGGGTCTCTTCCCCTCTCCGCTTTTTTAGCATCAGCAGGGGGTATGGCAGCCCTCGTCTCCATCTTTGGAGCTGGTGGGGCGGGTAAGTAACAAAAAAAAATTTCCACTACTCTTGACACTTTGGGCTCCTGCCGTGGATGTTGCTTCAGGGTTCCGTTGGTGCTCGGCAATGCTCCATGGCAGTAGGGTCTGTTGCTTTGCTACTGCTGCTCTCTTGATGCCAGACTAATAGGTGTTGCGCCACAGTAGCAGTAGGTTTTAACACCTTGCTCACCTTCTGCAGTCATGGGCGCTTCTGCAGTCACGGGCGCTGCTACATTTGTTTCTGCCGGGTGTTGCTAGCATAGAAGCCAGAGTTGATCGAATGCATCCCATGTTGCTGGTGCGTCCGCCACTAGGCCTAACGGGATGGAAGTACAGTCGCCGTATAGCCAACATAAAAATATTTGAATTTTTAATGCTCAACGGCAGAAGTCCTTCATCTCTCAGAGTCGGCATCGGCGTTAGTGGTTACCTTAGAGACGACGACGATGTTACACTTCCCTGGGTACATAGCGGCGTTGCTTTTGAGGCTGCCTATTCTCGTTTTTCTGAACACGGTTGGAGCTGTTGCTATTTCGACGATCGGCTGATTTTGCTGATGCCACTGTATTTTCTGCTGCTGCTGACTCTGTATTTGCATTTTTGTAGCTTCATGCGACAGTGTTAGTCCTGTTGTTAGATATAGCTGCTGCTGCTGCTGGCGTTTTCCTGACGTGTTTGCTGCTTTCTCGTAGGTTTGCTCTTTCCCGAACCCGAGGTGTGATCTGCATGCACTCAAATGGGAGCCCCACGTACTAAAGGCCTTGGGAGGCATGGTCATAAAGATGGTCTCACAGGTGAGCCCTGCGTTGCCGCCAATTCAACATTCATTTTGTCTGTCTGTGAGCTTGGGCTTGTGAGCTCGCTTCTGCCTTACCCACTGTCGTCATATTTGTGTTTTCTCTTGTACATATGCTTCCGTGCAATGTTTGGTCTGGCTCTTCTGGCTTGCTTGTTTGAGTGTCTATCGATGCTTTACTGCTTGTGCGCTTCGTTATCTTCGCGGTTCATGTGTCTTTCGGGAGGTTCATTTGTCTGTTTGTTCGTTCTTGTTGCCCTTCATAGCGCAACTGCCCGTCTGTCATTTTGTGTTTGAATCGTGCCTGCCTTGTTGTTGCTCTTTTCTTCTCCAGGACTTTGCAGTGAGCGCTTCGAAGTTTTACTTGCAGTACACCGTCCTGGGCGGCTTGACGTTTGCGCTTTTTTGGCCCATAGCACTCATTCAATACGCTGCAGGCCTCGACAACACCTGGATGCTTTGTCGGGAGAGGGCACAGCAGGCCGGCAACATTCTTGCAGATGCGGTATCAGACAAGGCCGTGAGCAGATGCCACGCCTTATTGAAGCGTTGTCGCTTTTGCTTTTGCAGCAGGCCTTGCCGTTGCCGTCAGCGGTGTAGTTGTTGGCTTTCCACCAGTCCATAATTTAGCTTCTTATGCCTCTCGTGAGGTCGCGTGTACTGACGTAGTTTCAGAGTATGGGTGCATAGGTAGCGTGTTTATGATTGCGCAGGCAGTGGGGCAGAGGCCTGTCACTCTTGCCGGGTACAGCATGGGGGCAAGGGTCATTTTTTACTGTCTTCAAGCACTTTGGAAGAAGGTAGCAGCCTTTGGTGCCGTTGGTTCCAAATTATCTTGCCAGCGCGCTCGTAGAGTGAACTCAGCTCATTGTTGACAAACGCGCTTCATGTGTTGCTGTTGCATCTCTTGCCAACGCGGCGGCGTGCTTCTGGTTTGCTTGCTGCAGCGGAAGTTCCACTGCGTCCACGATGTGGTGCTGATGGGTCTGCCGGCATCGATGAATGCGGCCCAGTGGAGACAGGCACGACAGGTTACTTCTGGGAGACTGGTTAACGTCTACTGTAGAACTGACTGGCTGCTCGCTTTTCTTTACAGGTGGATGGAGTTCAGACTCCAGGTGAGGGGGCCGGCCTACTGGCCACGCAATGAGGTCATTGTCGGCCATTAGTTGGCTTCTGAGCCATTCCGCTTCACCAAATCCGCAGGGGCTAGTACTGGGTACACCGTCCGGCCGCCGAGCCGTCTCGGTTTGGGATTGCAACTTTCGCACGCTGTGGCGGTGTTGTTTTGTTGTGTCCGCAGGTTGCAGGCCTCGCCCCAGTAACATCTGTGCCAGGTGTAGAAAACGTGGATGTTACAGGGCTCGTAAAAAGCCACGCAAATTACCCGGAGAAGGTGCCGCAGATCATGTCTTTCATATCTATTGAAATGTAGATGCTACTACGCCAATGGCTGGTTCGCAAATTTCAAGCTGACTCACTGCGTGGCGGCAACTCGGGGCATGGCCCTGCGCTTACTGCTTGCTAGCACCTAATGTGAAGAACTTGCAAGCCTTTTCGTCTGTACACAAGCCTTTTCGTCTGTACCCCGGTCACTGAGCCACACAGCTGAGTTGACAAACAGGGGACAGTGGTTCCACTTTACGACGTTCCAAATTATGGCGTATTTGGGAGTGGAAGAGGCTGCTGCCGGTCAAAATTGAAGCTGCTCAGAAAAAACCATACACTCAAGTTCTTGTATGAACAAATGCGCATTTAGGCCGAGGCTCCTGCGAGTGCTGTTGCCATTGCCATTGCGTTGCTGTGTTTCCTGTAAGCGACGCCGAGCGAATTTCATGCGCCGGCCGCTCCAAATATTCCAGCTCGCGAACTAGCTGTTACGCATATTCTTACTAGCGCAGCTTTGTGCCTGCTGTGCCAGCTGCAGTAGTGGAAGCAGCCTCAGATGCGGAATCATTGGGAGCTCCTGTGGCCGCTGCTGTTGCTGCAACGTTCCTACGTGCGGCAGAAATACGCAGACGGTGCTGCAGCCGCACGCCGTGCACGCGGCAGTAGTGACGGATATATGGGTCCTGACAGCAGAAGACATGTAAAGCAATGTTCAAATAATGGACACATGATAGACGGCGGCTATGCTTTTGTGCAAGCCAGGGGCGATCAGCAGGCAGTACGATTCCGGAATAACAAATGGCGACGGTGCCCATTAGACCAGTTGTGCTGCAGCACCTGCAACTCCTATGGAAGCTAAACGGTTGATTCTGTCGCTGCAGCTTCTTTAGCAGCGGTGTCGGCTCCGTCTTTGGCGTAAAGACGTAGCAGTAGACGTTGTAGTGGCATGCTTCCCAGCGCCAGCAGCGACGCTCGCAGCGGCAGCAGCAGCGCTACCCGCGGTAGCCGGTGCTATTGCAGATAGCAGCGGCGGCAGCAGCAACGGCATTACAAGCGACTTACCGTTATGCCGAGCGCAGAGACCGCCACACTGAGGCGCCTCTTCTCCTGCAACGTCAGTTCCGCGAAGCGCCTGCTTGTCTCCTCGAGAAGGTGCTGCAGCAGCGCATACAATAGGAGGCACGCTGACAAGGTGCAACTGCAAGCATGGCGGCGTGCTGTAGGAGAGCTGTGGGACACTACCGAGGCATGCATGTGGGCAATTGGAGCAGGCATGCCTACAACGGCAGCATCTGCTTGTTCCTCCCTAAGGGAATTTCGCACTCGCCTTCAGAGTCACTGCGTGCTGCAGCTCCCGCCGATGTGGCGCCTCCGGGGGAAGCAACAGAAGCAGAAGCAGCGCTCTGCATGCATCTGCAGCACGTGGTAGCAGGGAAGCCCCCGCCGCTGCTATAATGGCGAACACCATACGTACGACACGCCTTGCTGCAGCTTGTACCAGCGTGCCAGACGGATCTGCTTCGGCTAGAGCCGGGGATCCCACCTCTTCTAGCAGTTCCAATAGCCGTCGGCGCTGCTGCGGATGTTTTGCGTTCCCGTGATACCGTTTCAGCAGCAACGGCTGCAAAAGTACCGTTGTTGTTGCTGCTATCGCTGCACTTACGGAATTCATCAGCTGCAATGTCTCCACAGTAGGTGCTTCCCACGGATTCAGACGAGTGTACTTTACGTGACCTGATGCATCATCATAGGCTACTGCAGCCCCATTGACCTGATCGGGCACAAGCTGGAGCTGCTGCTGTAACAAAGAGTTTTCCTGCATCAACTCCAGTTCGACCTGCTGCAACAAGTGCAGCAAAGTGGCGGCGCCTGGCTGATGCTGTAACGCCGAGTTCGCACAAACTCCTCCAGCAGGCCCTGAATTGATCCCTTGGACCTTGTCAGGGAGTTCCTGAGGCTGCTTCCCTTGCTTTTGTCTTTCCTGCTGCGGCGACGAGAAAGAATCGGGAGTACGAAAAGTCGAAAGATGGCTCATCAGCCTTGCCGTCTCTTTGCTGCTGAACGCTGCTGTTGCTAATGCTGCTCTTGTAGTCGTTTCTTCTGATGCTTTCTCTTCACCACGTGAGACAAAAGCATCGCTCGCCCGCAACAGCACCTCGCTCGCCTTGACAAGCTGCAGCAACTGATCTTGCTGCTGCTGCTGCTGCTGTCGTTTCAATTGCTGGAGGGCATCGGCAGCAAGAGCTGCGAGGCTTCCCAATGCAGCATTGTGCTGAAGGCAGTCTTCTACTTTGCTACTGCTCAGCAACAAACTTGCTGCACTGCTAAGGAACTCCGAAAGGGGCAAAAACAGCAATAAATGCGGCTGGCGCAGCTGCGCCTGCTGCAGCAGATGCTGCAGCGAGGAACAAAAAACGGCGAATTCTTGTGCGGAGAAGCGGCTGACAGCTTCCGGCTTAACAGCGAATATCTGCCGCAGCTGCTTCTGTTGTTGTTGCTGCTCTTGCCTCTGTAGCAGCAACTTATCTTCAGGCAGCATCCAAGTATCAATGCTGCGCCGAAGCAGCAGCTGCAGCAGCTCGACGCTGAAGCAGTTGCTGGCAGCGAATATAGCAGCAATGTTCGCAGCAGCAGTAGCGGAAATACAATGCATATCATCAATAAACTCGCGAGTCAGCGGCAGCAACAGAGACGCGCTAACAGGCCTCTGAGACGGCAGTCGGTACTGTTGCAAGGGCTGTTGGCGTTGGCGTTTCGTGCTGCTGTCCAGCGGCTGCGTATAAAAGTGCTGCAGGAAGTACGGCACTGATGCTGTTGCTCTTGGAGCATACCTGCAGCAGATGAGGCGCAGCAATGCAGAAAGAGACGACACCGGTAGGAGATCTCTCGACGAAAAAATGCGATCGCAAAGACTTTCCCAAAATGGTTTGTCGTCCCTTTCGGATGCCGCTACTGCCGCTTGTGGCAGACCTGACGCTGCTGCTTCTGCCTGCTGCCAGCGGTGAAGAGCAGCAGCAGCGACCGCTTCAAGGGACTCCGTGACAGCAAAAGACGGAGAGACAGCATCTGCAGCCGTTGCGTCCTTGCTGAGACACACAACGTCCCGACCAGCTAGCCCAAGTCCCTCACGCGGTGAGCCCCCGCGGAGCTCGAGAAGGCGCATGTCTTGTAGCTGAAAGAGCTGCTGCTGTTGGAGTTGCTGTTGCCCTACAGCTGCAGCGGCTGTAGCTGCATACTGAGGCAGTGGAGGGACTGCATGCGCCATACGCAGGGGAGGCCCAGAAGCAGGAAGCGGCGGGGTCGGGAGAAAATGTGGGTGGTATTTGCTGCGTCTTCCCGTTCTCCTTCTCTGTATTAGATGCTTCAGGTGTATAGCCAGCGGCGACGGCATGTATCCCTCGGGGCCACTGCTGCCGCTAGGGAGTGACTGCAGGAGCGGCTGCTGCTGCCGCATACGCGGAATGACGAAGAGGGGGGCCAAATCTGCAGCTGCATGTACCACGCTACGCCTCCTGGTACTGCTGTTGAGGTATATAACGCGGGCATCCGTACTGAATCCTCTGCTTTGACTGCGACGCCAACCGCAACAGCAAGTGATAAGACCCCGGTGGTGATCTTTCGGTGTGACCCAGCCCCTCGCCGTTGCGGTTGCGGCAGAGCCTTGAAGTATCATTCTTCTGCTGCTGATTATGTTAGGGCTGATATTCCCAATAACGTTGCTGACACAGCAGCTGGAGCGGTGGCAGCCATTCACGGGCTGCTACCGCTGCAACTGAGGATCAGGGAGGCAGATCCCTTGGACCTCCCTTCAGGTGTTTCTCCTGGAAGCGTTACACTGTTGATATTTAAGCATAAGATAAGATATGCGGCAACGGCAGCATCTGCAAGCCTAACTGAAGCAGCAGTCTCATAGCCGTTCCCTCCAATGCATAGCAATCCTTGGAGTCAAATTGGCCCGAAAATGTGAAAACTCTATCTCCTATTTTTCTGCTATTAAAATTGACAGCTGCAGCGGTGAATGCAGCTGCTGCAGGAGCGGCTCCAATAGCTGCTGATAGGGCTCCTGGTGTGCATGCTGATCGGCAATATCCTGTTGCAGCTCCACGATGCTCGCAGGCTGGGTCCACTCTGTGTCTCGTGTCTCTCCCATGTTTCAGACGAACATTTTTAATGATTAAAGAGGCTGGTAGCGTAGTAAGGAGGGAGGCACACTGTCTCCGCCGTATAGTCGCCTTTTTGTTAGTGCCCTCTCATCGCCGAGAGCACCCCGCAGTCGCTGCTGCTAGGGCTTTTCCCTTTGGTTCAGCAGCTGCTGCTCCTGCCCTTGCTCCACGTACTGCTATTACAGCTAACGTAGTTTATAGGAATCAGAAGTACGCCAAGTGTTGCACGGGCTCGACGGTGACACCAAACTCTCAAGTCGAACCGACCAACAACGGCGATACTGTACTTCCAAACACCCATAGCAGCAGCACGACCACTGAAATCATGTCAAGTCAAGAGGGTCCCACGCAGCAGCAGCTGCAGCAGGAGAAGACTCTTAAGGAGTCCCTTAGGAGTGCGGGTATTTTGTTTAAAGTAAGATCGTGTTGCATCTGTGGCGGCTAATGCTGCGACTTCAGAAGCAGACTCACCGCATAGTAAAGATGCTGTCTTCATTGATGTTGATGGTGCTGCATAATATTGCATGCAGGAACACACACACCCGAAGGCCGGCACAGTTGAGGAGTTGGTCGGTGTGGTTGGGACCCTGGGGATACCAGTATGCAAGAATCTGTTCTTGAAGGACAAGAAAGGCAGCCTGTTCCTGTTGACGGCCCTCCATGTAATATCAGGCTCAGAGTTTTAGCTCTAACTCCGGCCCGAAGCCGTGGAGCGCAGCCCTTGTAGCACTGTACACTGGCTTGTGGCTGCGTTGTTTTGTCATGTGTAGCTTTGAAGAGAAGGATAGCGCTGTTTATAGTTTGGATGTGGGTCATGGCAGCAGCGTCAGGACCGTTGAATGCTTCTGTATCACAGGACTCGCCCACCCCGTTAAAAGGCCTAATGACGAAGCTGGGAGTTCAGAAGCTTCGGCTGGCCGACGAGAAGTTGCTGGAGGCTACTTTGAATGTGCTTCCTGGATGCGTGACCCCCTTCGCCATGCTGAATGACCAGAAGTGAGGCGGCTGCTGCGGACCCTGGCATTCCTACCATTATTTTTCCGCGTGCATCTATCCATGCACCTGCGGCGAGTTGAGCTTCGCTTGCTGCTGCTGAGTTTCCTCGAAACTTTTCCTCTTTTTTTTGAGAGTGACCATAGGCCCTACATTGCCAGAAAGGAGGCAGTCGTCCCGTTGCCACAGCACCCGCAGCAGCAGCCGGCAGGGGCTGAGTGGGACGTCCATCTGTTGTATTATCACTCTTTTATCTGCGGCTTCTGCTGCTACGCAGGAAGGAGGTGACGTTCTTGTTGGACTCTAAGCTGAAGGATAGTGACAACTCAGTTTTAGTACATCCTTTCCATAACTTCCAGAGCCTGGAACTCGCAGCCAAAGATATCACATCCTTCTTGATGTCTAATGGCATCGCTATAACGTTCATCGACTGTGAGGGTCAGTCAACATGCTGGCAACAGTGAATCATTGTTTTCGCATTTTGAGCTAATGTTTTTGCCAAGGCGACTCACGGCTTCTCATGTTGGTGCTAGTGTTTGCTGCTGCTCTTGTATTGGCTTCTGTCGCCTTTTGTTGTTTTGTGCTCTGCCCGTGATGTGTGTCCTTGGTGGATGTAAGATAGCTGCGGCTGGTGCTGGCCTTGCTATTTTTAGTGTTTGAGGGCTGGAGCGCAGTGTGGCTATCCCCATCTTCTGGGGGCGGCACACTTCGTGTTGAAGGGGCAAGGGGAAGCTAGTTCTGCTACCAGTGTAGTATGTGGCTCTTTTTTGTATCCTATTTTCGGCTACAGAGTTACAGACACTGTCGGAGCTTCCGGTGGACGGAGTCAATGGAACAGCGCCCACCGCAAATGCGGCAGGCAAGAAGCTTGGTGGAGGTGCGAAAGGGAGCAAGGACGAGGCTCCTCACCAAGAGGCGACTCTGGGTGTCACGGCGAAGAAGTCAACAAACTTTGCTGACTGGTACACCCAGGTAAGGGGTCACGCAGTGTTTTCCGTGGTTGGCAGCTTCTGTAACAACTCTGATTATTTCCCCTGCATGCTTCCACTTGTTATTATTGCATCAGCTTCGCGAGGTGCGCCGCTGGATTCTTTTCTTTTGCGACCTATTTTTCGATTAGGAGGACATCTCAGTGTCTCGCAGGTCCTTTTTCGTTTTCGACTTCTTCTGTCGTGTCTCGGCCGTGCTGCTTCTCTGGGCGTGGCCGTGTCGTCTGTCTCTTTCGTTGTGTGTCTTGTTGCTTGGTATACACGGCCCATTCCATATCTGTGTGGCCCTTTGCCGGTGTGCAGGTAATAGTACGTGGCGAGCTGGTTGAATACTACGACATCAGTGGCTGCTACATCATCCGTCCTTGGGCCTACAGGATATGGGAGGCCGTTCAGAAGTTTTTTGACGATGGTATCAAGCGTCTTGGGGTTGAGAATTGCTACTTCCCGATGTTCGTGTCTCAGGTTAGCAGTGCTTATCTGAACTTTGTGCATTCCGTTGCCTTTTCCCCTTGTTTATACATTGAAGGTTGTGTCCGTTGCACATGTTTTCCATGTTCGTTTTACAATTTTCTCCCTTAATTTTTTCCATAGCCGCGTTGCGTAGCAGCATCAGGTGCCGTAGCACCTTCCGCAGCATTAGTAGCTCGCAGGTGTGAGTTTCATTTACTTAGGCGAAGCTTGAGAAGGAGAAGGACCACGTGGAAGGATTCAAACCAGAAGTAGCGTGGGTTACTCATTACGGAGACTCTGAGCTTCCAGAGAAGGTCGCCATCCGCCCCACAAGTGAAACGATCATGTATCCAGCATATGCAAAGTGGATTCGGTCTCACCGTGACCTGCCGCTAAAGTTGAACCAGTGGAACAACGTCGTCAGGTAATCGGGGACTAGGTGGCTGGCAGCAGCACTACTGGCATCAGGGACAGTTGAAGCGGTCGCAGGAGCAGCCACGCCAGTGTCATGTTGAGATGCCGTTCTCCAGAAGATGGCGCAGTGGTTTTTTCTGTCATGGCTTGGCATTCGCAGCTACGTGTTTTAGAAGGATGCTGGGTATGTGAATTTGATTTGCTGCCTCCGCTGCAACTTTGGGTGCAGATGGGAATTTAAACAACCAACCCCCTTTCTTCGCACAAGGGAGTTTTTGTGGCAGGAAGGCCACACCGCCCACGCAACAGAGGAGGAAGCATACGCACTTGTTCTTGAGATTCTGGAGCTGTACAGGCAGTACGGCCGAAACCCTCAAACGCGAACCTAAATTCCAGGGGTTCAGGGAATAAGACGCCTCCCGTTCGATTTTTTATTCCTCTCCCGTGATGATGACAGGCTATCTGCGCCGTTTCCAGTAGTTGCATTGTACTGGTGCTACTCATCTCCTAGTGATGGTGACGGAACTGTTGCTGCTGCAGATGGTACGAGGACTATTTGGCCGTTCCGGTGATCAAAGGAGAGAAGAGCGAAAATGAGAAGTTTGCTGGCGGAAAGAAGACAACAACTATTGAGGGCATAATTCCCGATACGGGTAGAGGTATCCAGGCGGCGACTTCTCACTTGCTTGGGCAAAACTTTTCAAGAATGTTTAGCATCGAATTTGAAGGTGAGTATGCGATGCTGCTGGAAGGGTGCCTAGCTGCTTCCATAGTGGACTAACAAGTCTTGATTGCTCGCTGGGCTAGCCCATCTTTCCCATTTCCGGTGAATTTGGTCCTCGCTGCGCGTCGCTAGCTGAGCGGCTAGCTGCTTACTGCTGACTGTGTGCTTGCTTTTTCGGCTTATCGGCTTTATGATGCTCTTTATTTTGCTGTCCACGTCTCGTTCCTGTTCTTGATTTTATGCGTTTAATGTTCCGTGGCTTTGTTCTGCCGCACGCCCGACGTTTTCTTGGTGAATACCTTTCAGGTAATGTGAGATATTGTGTGAATAAACGCACTGCGGCTAGAATCCTCCATCACTTTCGTACTGGGTCTTCCGACGATAATGCAAAATGAGACACTGATAAGTGGTTGCATTTGCAATTCAGACGAAAAGGGTGCTAAACAGCTCGTGCACCAAACGAGTTGGGGCTGTACCACGCGTTCGTTGGGCGTTATGATTATGACTCATGGTGATGACAAAGGTCTTGTGCTTCCCCCGAGGGTCGTGGCTGTTCAGGCAGTTATCATCCCCATCATTTTTAAAGTGAGCAAGCTGCTTTTGCTTCAGCCCATTCACCTCATCAAGAGCACGTGTGTTCTCTTACCTGTCGATGATTTCCTGCGTGTGCTTGTGTGTGTATTCTTTTACTGTAGCTGCATGCTGCCTCTCGTCTGTTACCTTCGCTTGCCGCTATTCGCCCTTTTGTTCTCTGAAGTCATTAAGGCCATGCTCTTTATATTGCCTTCTCTCAGGAGACTGGAGGGACGGAGATTGTTGCGAAGTGCCGCGAGCTTGAAAGACTGCTGAACGCCGCAGGCGTCCGCGTGAAGGTGGACGACAGGGTGAGCACTCGCTTCGCAGCATATATTCGTCCGTCGTTGCGCAGGTCGTTCACTGTTCGTTCTTTCGCGCTACATGCTGCCGCGAACTTCGCATGTCATACGCTATTCCCGTTGTGTTGAACGGCAGTCCTTGCTTTGTCCCGCTTGAAATGAACAATTGAGGCTTCATGATATCCCGTGGAGTAGTCGGGTTTTGTTCGCAGTGGCGCTGTTTGCTTTTGTACTTCCGGTGGGCTGTAAAGCGATGTTCCCCTCATGTGGATTGAACAGACAAATTACACACCGGGCTGGAAGTTCAACGATTGGGAATTGAAGGGCGTTCCTCTGCGATTGGAGATTGGCCCTCGAGATGTAGAGAGCTGCCAAACCAGAGTGGTGCGCAGAGACACATCGGAGGCACGGAACGTTCCCTGGGCAGAGGCGGCGTCGACAATCCCAGCCATGCTGGAGACTATGCAGAAGGACCTTTTCAACAGAGCCAAGGCCAAATTTGAAGCTTCCATAGAGCAAATTACTACTTTTGACGAAGTTATGCCAGCGCTCAACAGGCGACATGTTGTACTTGCCCCATGGTAGGAATTCGCTGCAGTTAGCGAAGGAAGCAAAATAGGCCTTTGTCAGGCGGGAAAAAGCCGCAGTTGGCAGATGAGCAAGGGATTGCACAAATAGGAAAGATACCCTGAAAATTATATAATTTGGTGGAGTAGGGCTTCTCCGGTGAGTATGAGTTTGCGGAATTCGGGCCATGGCTTAAGATGAGGTGCTGCAGAAAAAGCATGGAGGTGTTCCCTAATTTGCATGTTGCGCTTTTAGGTGTGAAGACCCGGAAACGGAAACTCAAATCAAAAGGGAGACACAGCGCCTCTCAGAAATTCAGGTGGGTGTCAGTTTGGGTGTCAGTGCCCTTGAGGGGCATTCTGTATTTCAGTGGCTGGATATAGTTGGCCCGCGCAAAAGGTGTTTGCCGTAGCTCGGGTCGGCCCATTGGCGTGGCTGCTGCTGACGGAAATGGCGAATTGGTGTGTGGCTGCTGTTAACATCAGGCCCGCGAAAACGCAGATGGCATGACGGGTGCCATGAAGCCGCTCTGCATCCCTTTTGAGCAGCCTCCCATGCCAGAAGGGACGCGCTGCTTCTTCACTGGCCGGCCAGCTAAGCGTTGGTGTCTGTTTGGCCGGAGCTACTAGTGGTTGCTCCTCCAGAACAGCGCTTAGCGGCATGAAAGAAACGATCTGTATGCTCTGCTGAATCGTTGCGGGCTAAGAGAGCCACTGGCGGAGCAGGGCTGTGGCGTCAGCAACACTTGCTGCTGCGCCGAACGGTGCGGCAAGTTGCAACCCAGAATACCCGCTGCTGTATGAAACTAGAACAAAACCCTGTGTTGCGTCCAACGAAAGAAGGGTGCCCGCTGCCCAGCCTGGTTCCATCTTGCTAGGTATAGCGCAGTGACAGAACATCTGTTGTAACATCTGTTGCACGACCCTGTTGGGGTGTGCAGTTCTGCTGCGTTCTTGCTGCTCATCTAGTGAGTGCTATCACCGAAGTCAGAGCTCCCGCGTCGGCAACAACTGTCGGAGCGGGAAATGTCAGCCTCCCGGAACCAAGCTGTCATCCGGGGCAGCTGACGTACTCCCTGGAAGTAGCCACACAAAGCGGCACTTCACTACTAAATTTTCAACTGAAGGAGATGACGGGACCGCCACTGCTACGTGTTTCACGGGTGGACTTACGGAAGGACGGCAATAATCGAATGTCCCTCACCCGTGGCGGCGGCTGGACTGGCCGCTATCACGGTTCAAGTGGGTGACTGCAGCACTGGCTACTGCAGCAATGTAGCACATTGTGTTGCGGCGCAGAGACAGAAAACGGAGGAAAGAGGCATCTCTAAGTTGGTGCCAAGACGCAAAGGCGTTGGCCGACAGGGGCGCTCAAGCGCCGAGGACACGCAGCAACAACAGTGGTTGTCGTAGCAACTAGCAATGCAGCAGCCAAAGTAGCTACCAAAGTATTCAAAAGTCAAGAGGACCCGACGTTTCCCTGAAGTCTGGTGCATCGAGCTGCTGGAGGTTTGGTTCCACGGGCACGGGCTCGACGGGCGCCGAATGGGCCGCGGAACTGCGTAACATTTCCAGTACTTCTTGCTCCACTGCAGCACCAAGCAAAAACAAAAATGCTCTCATGGGGTGTGTTTATGTGTTTTGCATACCTACGTGCACTACCCATGTCGAGCACCTCCTTAACGTTTTGTCCGCGTAGCGGGGCATCATTGCACGCTGAGCGGCTAATGCATAATCTCACAAGTCAAGGAAGGCAGCTTAGTTTAAAGAGTGTCTGTGAGTGCAAGTAGCGCTAGGCCTTCACGTGCTAACCTTTGAGTTCGTGCTCCAGAGTAGCTTGGGGAAGCGTGGCTCTCCAAGCTTGTATTTTCTCCACTGCACAGAGTCTGGACTTGATAAAGCCGTGTTTCTTAACTAGGAACCGGCGAGCTTCCCCCCTCATTTGCGCCACCCAAGCGAACGTTTCAGCTTCAAAACGAACACCGTGCACATACGGCAGCTCCATGGCGCGACGGCTAAGTCGAGCAACTCGACTTGCCGAGACGTCCTGAAGAATCGCAGACTCTAGTACATACTGGCAGCATCACCATTTCAAGCCACAGTGACAGGATACCGGCACCCTCACACAAGAGCAAATACAATGCACAGCCACGCAAAACGCCGGAGGACGGCACAGCCACTATGAACGGATCCTGCTCTAGGTAAAGGCAGGCAACAGCAAAACAAAGAAACAGGAGCACGAAGAACCAGGCAACGTTAAGCCATTTCAAATATTGTTTAACAGGTGCACCCCTGACATACACTTCGAGTTGTGTACGGGACATCTCCAGAGCAGTCAATTAGATTGAAGGGGCCCCCAGGAGGCCCTGTTGAGCCTAAGCCACTCGCTGCCACTCCTGGCGAAAGCTCCTCAAGGTTTCTGACTTTCGATGGACGGTCAGGGGCTCCGTCTGGCGCCGAGCCCACTGACGTTGAGGTCTTCGCTGCAGCAGACCTACGACTGTTCAGGTGTCTCCGGCCTGCAGAAGCAGCAAGCATGAGCCGTTCTCCAGAGCTCGACAGCCGTCGAGTACAGCGTGTAACCCTTGAGGTGCATCGAATGCATGCAAATGAAGCCTTCAGCTCCTTACATTCACAACACGTAATTAAGCTACACAAGTGTCTGCATCTTGTCGTGGTAAATGTGAAATCCGGGTTAATAATCTTTAGTTAGCTTGCATGCTCCTCTGTTTACGGCTCAACTCACACTGAGCTGCATACAGAAGCGCCACCCTTTTAGCCCCTTCATAGCCCAGCTGCAAAACGGAGAATGCGCGGCTCTCTACACCCCCAGCACAGCACAGAACGAGCCACGCGTTGTGAGGGGGGCTGTGACAAACCCTGACGTTGCCTCGTGGCGACCGGCCGAGCCCTTCAGCAGATATAACACTGCCTAGCTCAGCCGGTATCAGCTTCTTCCTCATCGGAGGCAAAATCGTTGTGGTTGTGCTTGTTGGTGCCGTTCCAGGAGGGGTAGCTGTTGTGGAACTGTGCGCTGCAGTGGTGGCAGTCGACGAAGATATCGGCCACAAACACTGTGGTGATGCTGCTGCTGCTGACTCCATCGTGGCAAGGGTCCCAACAGGAGGAGGCGAAGGGCGACCCAGGCTCCCTCTACTACCCCAAGGCATCACCATTCTTCCTGGAAAGCTAAAGCCGTCTTGCGCGCAGGGAGAAAGAGTTCCTATGCAAATTTTCGGCACCACGCAGTCATCGCCGGGGCCGCTTGGTGTCTCAGCTGCTTGTGCAGCAGGTGCTGGAACTGAGGGCTGCAACACCGCTCGAGGAAGCTGCACCATTGCAGATGGATCTCCGCTGCTAGCACTGCAGTTTCCTTGACAATCCCTTTTTCCAGAAGCAGATGCGGGCGCTGTCCCTATATACCCGTACGGAGTACCTACTGAGCAACCAGGGGAAGCAGGTGGACCCCACCGAAGGCTGTCATCCACCGGCCATGAAGAACGGCCACGTCCTTGACCTCTCACGCCATCAGATGCTGGTGCTGCCGCTGCGTCTGTTCCTTGCCAGCCTGCGTACATATGAGCGGATAGACCGGAAAGCCGTCACATCTGAATTCGCAGTCATACACGGGTTTGCACGTAAACACACAACGACGTTCCTATGGGACACAAAACCAAATCTTACACCCCCAATGAGCGTGTCACCTCCCTGTCAGTAGGGCAACAGACTAAATGCATGTATAGACATCATGAAGTGTTTGCTGTGTATATCAAGTAGCACAAAACCGCTGAGCAAGGCTGAGGTCGAGGGCCTATCTTACTCTGTGCGACCACGGGGCCACCGTACTGACCATCTGGATTACTAAAACCAGATGCTGCTGTCGCTGTTGTGCCTGTTGCTGGGCTTGGCGTTGCTGGTGCTTCTCGCAAAGCGCTGCAGCAGCCAGGAGCAAAACCCGTCGGCGTCGTGGAAAGGCCCGTTGCATGGGCTAGCTGCTGCTGCTGCTGCAATAAAGTTGGCAGTTGCTGCTGTGGCATTGGTAGCTGCTGAGGCTGCTCCACAGAAGCATCTTGCTTTGGTTGCTGCATTGACTGTTGTTGATGCTGGAGCGAGATCTGCTGTGTGGGATGCAGCCGTAGCTCGGGTTGGTGGTGTTGCTGCAACGCAATAGGCTGGTGATGAGGCGGTTGTTGTAAAGCCATAGGCTGCTGCTGTTGCTGCAGACGAATAGGCTGGTGCGGGTGCTGCTGTCGCAGGTGCACATGCTGGTGCTGCACTGGCAATTGGTGCTGATGGGGCTGTTGCTGCAAAGGAATCTGAAGGAGATGCCGTTGCTCTTGCAACCGCTGGTAAAGCGTTTCTAACTGCGTTCGCGTCTCTTGAAAACAACGAGGATTTATGGCCCTCAGCTCACGCGGTGACTCGGAGAGAAAAGGCAGCAACAGCGTTAAGTACTTCGCCAGTTGGTGGGGAGGACAGTTTTTTATGGCGTCTAAGTGGAACGCCTCCTCCCCTGCTGCTCCGGTTGTTCTTGTTCTCTGGGCTTGTGAAGAATTGCTGCCGCTGTAACCCTCAGGTTTGCATAACGAGTTCCACTTTCCCTCTGTGATACCGTCATCAGCCCCCGATGAAGACGCCCCTGCAGCTCCTGACTGCAGGGCAGACTGCGCGTCGTCCGAGGATAACCCTTTAGGCAAACCAACAGGCGCATGTACGGTATCCCTGCACTTGCTCGTGCTGCTTGTCGTAGCGCTGATGTTGCTGCCGTTGCTGCCACTGCTGCAGAACGCCGAATCTTCCTCCTCTTCCAAGCCACCACTCGTGGTCGCCGTACTGCTCGTTCCTATGGGACTGCTGCCTCCTTCGCGGTCTTTGCGGCAAACAGGCAGATGCTGCAGCTGAGAGCAACAGCCTTTTGAAGATCCCCAAGAACCCCTCACCTCTTTGTACACCTCAGTTACCACTGTTGAGAGGTAGCTCCGCAAAGCAGTAGTTATCGTACTAGAAATTTCAGGTCGAATACACAAAGATAACCCACCTCCTGGCTGCTGTGGCACTTGTTGCTGCATTATTGGTGTATGTACCAAGTGCTGTTGCACCAAATGCTGCTGAAGTAACACATTTTGCTGACACGGCTGTTGGGCTAGGAGGTGCTGCTGGTGCGTAGAGCGTGCATGCTGGACCACATGGCCAGAAGACCCCAATGGAGAGCCCATAAGGACGGTTTGGAAGCACGAAACAGGTGCATGCTGCAAAGGCTTTCCCAGGCAGGAAACATGGCACGAAGAATAAGAAGCAACAGTGCTACAAGGGGAGGGGCAACTAGTTGTCACGGGTCCCCCGTTGCATGCCGCACCTCCGGAAACCCACAAGCCTGAAGAGGGTCCACCAGGAGTAGCAGAACTTTCGACGGCAGCATTTACCGCCGGTGCTGTAAGCCGACGTCCCTCAACTCCCAAACAGGAAGGCGTACCCGACCCTACTTGAAGCTGCAAGGGCGTTGTCAGAGGCGTCCCAACCTGTTGTATCTGCGAGCCTGCTGGAGGCCTGCAAGCACTATTGCTCACAGGCAAAGCTGCTGCTGCTTGTTCACAAGCATACGGCCATAAGCTGTATGACTGCTGCAACTGCAAAGGTAGCGGGGAATTCACGGGAGGCACACACGACCCAACGCCAAGCGGGCGCTCGCCTTCACTGCCCAAAAAGGGCGGTGTCCCTGGGTGCTTAGAGCAGACCTCTCCAGTAGCCAGCAACATCTGAGCCGTGCACTTCTCCTGATGCTGCTATTATCGGCAGTTCTTCGTTGCGTAAAAGGGGGCAGAAGCGGCCCCTAATCGAGCAGGATCATAGGCTTAGAAGTTTGTCCCATCCACCTCCCAGGACCAGCTGACCCACTCTGTGTTTCTTTTTCCGAAAGAGCAATGACACCAACTAACGGCTAGCAGAATACTGTTTTCGTCGTTGTTTTGGGCTCTGCTTCCACTAGACAAGGGCGGGGCTGTATCGTCGTGGACACATGTAACGTCCAAGAGCTTTTCTTACCTACAGCAAGGTCAAGCACTTGCCCTAAAGAAAAACGCTGACGGGACCCACCGTAAAAGAAAAACAGCAATTTATCAGACTTAAGTGGGCCCACAATGCTCCGCGTTTTCGAAACTCTTTGTGTGGTGCTGCTGGAGCAGCAAGCCACTCAGCAAGCAGATAAACGGCCTGCTGCAATTCTCCACTATGGCCAGAAAAACAGGAAATATTCTGAAACGGCAATATTGAGCTGAAGTGGAAGGATGCCTTCGACCGAGGAACCAACTAGGGGCACTAGGCCCCGAGCTGGATCCCTCGAAGAGGCCTTAAATGAGCTGCAGCTGTTTCACGCAAAAGGCGGAAGAATTACATAAACATTACCGCAAAATACATAAAAGGGACGCATATGTTACGCTTGATTGTTGCAACAAATCCAAACAGCAGACGCCGCAGCTGCCTCCGCTGCCAGCCCGAGCAAGCCCCAGGTCTGCGCAAAGTGGCCTCACTATTTGTCTTTCAGCTTGTACCAAACAACAGTATCGAAAGGGCTCAAGCTACCACACACTAATTGCTATCAGTCACAGTAGCTCTAGTGCTACTTATTTTGGCACGGTGGGCTTTTTGGGAAGCAGTGTTCAGCGCCCTGGCATTCCAAAACCCCCTGAAGCCAGCATTTGCCACTTTATAAATAAGGCTGCATTTGTGCCATGCACGCTGAAAATTTTCCCCTGGCATGTAAGTGATCTGAAATTTAAGCATGATAATATGTAAGTTAGTGATGGGGAGCAGGAACGGTGAAAATGCTGTGGCGCCTTCTGGTCAGGGCCGGACCGCAAGAACCTCACGGGCCCTTAAAAGCGCCGCGCATCATGTTATAAACAAGAGATGCAACACTGCTGTTTATTTGTAGATTGTGTAATGGGTATTCGGAATCGAGTTCAATTCTAGAGGGCCTCTAAGGGCGCTGTCTTGGTTGTCCGCTTCACCCCTTGCTTGACGTGTAGTAGACACCCCTTGGTAGAGGGAAGCTAACACTTGAGAAACGGACAGACCTTACAATGCTACGAAATGCACTGGTGTGGAGATCCTACGAAGCCATTCAATGTCTATGCTATGACGGGATCCATAGCCACACCGTAAATTCTCTTTGCAAGGACCTGTTGCAGCATGAGAGTCAACTTGTATGATGCAGCACTTCGCAGCAGTCAACTCTTATAAATACTGGAACAAAGAGAAATGGAGATCAAAAATGATCTAGCAGCGAGAGCTTTGTGGCTGGCTGAGTACAGCTAATGATGCATCCATAAGAAGAACACACGGTAACAGGCTGAGACCTGCTTAAACTGATTTAAAAACGTGAATCGTGAAGTATGCTGTGAATTGAATAGATGCTGTACCTGTATTTGTAGAATTGATTGCGTTAGCTTTACAAAGCTGGGACTTTGCCCCGACCTAGTGCCAGCAATATTACTGGATCGGTCAGGAGTTGTGGGCCAGTTTTTTTGTAGTAACCTCTGATGGGACGCCGCTTCTTGTAGTGCACAGCCCCTACTGCTGCGACTATGCTGCTACCTGCCCCTCGAGCAGGGCCTATGATTGGCACCTAACTTTGGCCCATTTCCGTGAAACAGTAGCTTATATATATCGAAATACAGTTATTCTTAGGTTTTCAAAATTTGTTCTTGTTCGATTCGCCCCACTCGGCGTGCTCGCCTCCTAGGCCCTGTGGGGATGATGTAGTGCACAGGCACTACAATGGGGCTTGCTGGTGACCTATAGACGATAGCTAGCTAGCGACCTACAAGGGGTCGCAACACTGGAGGAGGACAGGACCCTCCCACTAGGATCAAAGTAAGGCAATTTGTCTATGAATTAATATGCATACGTTAGAGATGCCTGAAAATGCGTGGAGACTGGGGCTGGCGATAGCGCCGGCACCAGTGCAGGCCTCCTCCCCACAGGGCCTAGGAGGCGAGCACCCCGAGTGGGGCGAATCGAACAACAACAGATTTCGGAAGACTTAAGAATTACTATATTTCGATAGATAAAAGCTACTGCTTCAAGGAAATGGGCCTACGTTAGGTGCCGTTCGTAGGCCCTGCTCGTGGGGCAGGTAGCAGCGTAGTCGCAGCAGTAGGCGCTGTGCACTACATTTGGGGGCTGTTCCGGGATCGAAATCTTTGTTCTTTCCTGACTTGGGAGTAGAAATACTATGTTTTAATAACTCACGCCTAGAAATCTTCGCTCAGTAAGGGATGCATCTCCGCAACGGACGCGTTATCGGCCCCACACCGCAGCAGACTTCATCAATGTCAGTCAACAAAATCGGCTGCCGGACGCCAGCCCATCATCACCACGCGACTCCGAAGCCCGCCATGGAAGAGCGGCCGCATGGGCATAAGGAGGACCCCCCGCAAGTGATACCTATGACCAATGTTACGCCAGGGGACAGTCCCTTCGTCACGTGGGACCAGTTCCAGTACGCTATGAGTGTGATAAGAACTGTTATAGGGGGGACAGTGGAATCCGGCGCAACGATTCCCATACTACCAGAAGACGGCAGCACTATGCAGGCCTTTCTGCTGCGCATCGAGCGCCGGTACACCCAGATGGGATTGGAACCGTGCGAGTGGGGAAATGCACTTATAGACCACCTTGTGGGCCTGGCTCTAACGTATTGGATGTATCTACGGAGAACTATTGACCTAAACGGCTGGGCGACAGTACAGCGCAGGCTTTTGGAGCGGTTTGACAAAACAATGTCGCAGAGTCAATTGCTAACGGAGTTGGCTAAAGTACGGTGGAATGGCAACCAGAAGGAATACACGGACCGGTTTGCGGCTGTAGCGGAGCGTGGTTTGGGTCTTGCCCCCGACGAACTCGCGGACTACTACTGCACCGGGATACCGACAGACCTCCATCTTCTAATAACCAATAACGGACA